ACCCCACCCCCCGGCCCCAAACACAGTGGTAGGCAGCTAGATAGGATCCAGTAGGAGAAAAACAGTTCTCCAAAGTTCTGAGGAAGAGAACAGTTAACTATGAGAACATCTTGGGTTAGAAGAACTGAAAAGCCTAACACAGGGCATCAAGGCAGCCTTAGTGTCCACAGCATTAGGAAGTAGCTGCCACCTTTGTAGGGATGGGAAGAGTCTGAAACCGGAGCCTAGCAATCAAGATTGCCTGCTAAGAAACAGGAACAAGGGTGGGCTTCCCTGAAAGGAGCTGCCCTATGGAAAAATGAAGACACCATTGCTGTGCTTGACCTAACCCACAGGCCAGGTTTCCCATGGATCTCAGCAGCAGAGGCAAAACCCACCATATCTGTGGGCTCAGAGCCTGCAGGGGCTAGAGTCCCAAAATGCAGAGTGATGTGGGAGGGAGCACGAGGGGTGACTCAGACCACCAGGCACAGCTCCTCCAGGTGGTCTGACTCTACCATCTTCTTGCCACCCACAGCATAGCTGTGGTTGATTTTGCTGTATTTTACAGGAAACCCGAATTTGTGCATTTTTGGTCAATTCCAAGAATGGGTGGCTCTTTCTGCTTCCCAGCTCCAGGGACATAGTTAAGCTTCCTCAGATCTATGAAAGGTGACATTGCCACCTCTTCCATTGTCATTGGAAAATGAGGCCAAATGCTGCAGGGTAGGAAGTTAAAAAGATACCATGTTTTCTTTCTTATGTATTGAGAATAGGTCAAAGGCCTGTGGTTTGGGGTCAAGGCTCCATGCTTCATTCCTGTTTGCATTCCTAAAAACAAGCCAGAATTTCTTCTGGGTGGTGGGTATATGTAAGAGGTTGGGGGTGCTAGAACTGGATCCTCCTTCTTGGCCAAGGCTTCCAGGTTCACAGAACACAAGGCAGAGAGCCACAGGGCCACACACAAGATGGATTGGATATCCCAGGCTGTTTTCTCCGTGGGGGAGCGTGATGTGTAAGCCCAGAAGCATGGATGGAGCGATAAGAACGGGACTCAATTCTCTGCAGTGTGGCGAGTAAGCCAATGGAGGCAGAGTCAAACGAATTAGACAGAAATTAAAACATACTGTTTCTGCTATAGACTGAGGTCCTGAGTCACCAAGTGATAAAGGACACCAGGCAGTCACAAGGTCGGTTTCCCATCCCGGCTAGCCCAGGGTCCTGGCTGAATCTCACAGCAATAGTTGGAAAGGTGACTGAGTGTTCACAGAATTCTCTGAGACCCAGAACCTGGGCTGGCTGGCTGCGGGGACAGTGGATGTCTAGGAATGGGCCCATCCTGAGTGACCCTTGTGACGAGGGGCGCAGCAATAGTTGGAAAGGTGACTGAGTGTTCACAGAATTCTCTGAGACCCTAGAACCTGGGCTGGCTGGCTGCGGGGACAGTGGATGTCTGGGAATGGGCCCATCCTGAGTGACCCGTGTGACGAGGGGCAGTGGCTGAGACTGGAAACCAGTAGGAGCAACAAAGCAAAGAGCCACTCTGGCCCTAGTGTTTCCCTAGGAGGGGGAACTAGGTCAATGCCTCCTCACTTCCTTGAGCATAGGGAGAAGTGACAGCCTTTGCCTTGCCTGCCTAGGAGGGACACCTGACTCTAGCTAAAGCCCAGTGTGGGGAGGGGATTGGAAAGATGGCCGGTTTCCAGCACGCGGAGGCTTACAACTGCCTGTAACTCCAGCTTTGGGGGAACCAGCGCCCTCTTCTGCCCTCCATGAGTACTGCACTCAGTACACATTCCCCACACACACACACACACACACACACACACACACACACACATATAAATAAAATAAATCTTTTAAATATCCCCAAGGGCACTTTTCTTTTCTACTTCTCATTGCTCTTTATAACCAATTTTGGGCAGAGGGCAGGTTTATGTCTGGGCCTTCTTGTGTTCAGCTGTAATAGATTTCCTCAAGTCAGGGATGCATACATTCCCTATCCTGAAAATCCAACCTGTGCTACTTCCAAAGAAAAAGACATCAGGAAAGAACAGGGCCTCCTGAGAATGTGCTTCCTGTAGTGTGATATCCACCTGCCCACATCTGTAGCACTGACCACACCCATTTGGGCGTGATCACAGGTGAGGACATGAAGGAAGAGAGGACTAAATCTGGAGCCTGGATCCCAGAGCTTCCGGGCGGGCCACAGAAGAGCACCCGGTGTGGCAGCCATCTGTTTTTTCTCTAAGTGACTTTTCCCTGAAATAAATTATATTTAATATTAATACCTAGTCCTGTGAAGCCTCATCTGTTCATCCACAGCTTCCTGCTTTCCTGGAAATGAAATGTGTCATATGCTCGTATTTCCTTGCAAGACAAAGACTACTTTTCACCATTTTTTCTGGGTCTTCCAGAGAGGGGTCAGCAATAAGGTGGCTCCAGGACCATTGCAGGATCCCCAAGGACCTCCAAAGTGATTCTAGCCCCTGAGGACACTGGTCCTGGCTGTGGTTGCTGTCAGTGCTCTGCTCTGTTTGTCACTGGGAAGGAACTTCTCCTGAGCTACACTGCATGAATTGCCCCAGGTGTCTACACCTTGGAGAAACAGAAGGGGCTTAGAGTTTGGTTATTAAGTTTTGGGCAATGACCATCATATCTCCTGGGTGGAATTCTAAGACCCTCATAGTGAAAAAAGTGTTAAAGAGTCGTAAGAAACCACCAGTGTTTAGACTTACATGGCCCATTTGACATGGAGTCACTCTTGTGAGCCACCAGGGAATTTTGTGGACACATCCGAGTTCTTGGGAACTCTGGGACGTTTATTATGCTTACAAAGTTGATATAAAGGAATGAGTGGGAATCTCAGGCCTCTGAGGAAAAAAAATTGGTTGAGAACATTGTGGGGGCCCTAGATGATGCCTGCGAAAGTAGAGAAACCTCTGGAATTTGCTTTTTCTGCCATCGTCATCCTGGCGAACACCATTAAACAAAATGTGTGCTTTGCACTTTAAAACTGAGTT